TGTGCTTCTTCCATGTGGGCTTTGTTGCTTCTGTGCTAGGTGGCCGCTTGTTTACCTTCAAGTCTTTAAGACCCCAGACGCTGTATCTTTTGATAGCCGGGCACCATCAGCTTTCTTAACCATATTTGCTTATCCCATGGATATCTTGCTGAATACTTCATTTTCAACTTACGTTAGTCTTACTGGGAGCCCTGGTGGCATAGTGGTGACAAGTTGGACTGCGATTTGCAAGGTCAGCTGGTTCAAGGGAGAAAGACAGGGCTGTCTATCCCCATAAATAGTGACAGTCTCGGAAACTCAAAAGGGAAGCTCTACCCTGTCCCATAGGGTCGCTATAAGCAGGCATTGCCCCGATGCAGTGAGTTTGGTTTGGTTTTTAGCTTTCCTACTTCTTAAGCTCTCTACTCATTTAGCTTTCACACCCTGTACTGCCCTTGGCTTCCCAAGGCCCTCATGGTTCCTTTTAATGTTTCCGTGTGGGAATGCCTTCCCAATATTTCTTGGAATAGTTACATTTTTTTCCCCAAATCCCAAGAGCAGTCAATAAGAAATTGATAAAATATAAAGAAGTATTACAATTCGGCAAGGATTGAAGTTTAATAGTCAACACATCGGAGTTACGGATTTGAAGGACATCAAAGAGATGAACAGTGCTGACATGAGTCGAAGGATAAGGTCAACACTTCTGGGAAGGGGCAGGAACAATAGAAGAGAAGTGGCCACGTCATAAAGAGGAAGTCATGTTCAGACCTGTTGCCAAGTCAGAAGTGTGTGTATTCCTAGCCCTGTTTGCTGCTAACAGTGAATTGTTCTTGTAAATACATATATTATACTCACAAGATTCTTTGTACAAGTTCTATCAGTGGTGTTTTAGAAAGAACATGTTTTACAAGCAAGATAAGTTCTTAATTTAGCAATTTTGATTCTGTGTAGTTTGGTTAACCTTGGTGGTGGTGATGGTGGTGGGTATTGCCAAGGTGGTTCATCCTGTGTACAACTGAACAATACTCAGCTTGCTCCTGCACCATTCTCTCAATTGCTGTTATGTAGGAGTTCCAAATATTATGCTATTCAACTGATCCCTAATAATCGAGAGATCAGATGACACATTGTATTGGGTAAATCTGCTGCACAGGACCTCCTTAGAGTATTGAAAAGCAAGGATGTTACTTTGAGGACTACGGTGCACAAGCAATACCACAAGCAATGGTATTTTCAATGATCTCATATGCATGTAGAAGTTGGACAATTGTGGTAGTTTGGGTTAGTCTTATACACAAATTCATATGTGTGTAAGAGAGAACTTTATATCAAAGAGCAATTTTACATTAAGAAAACATCCCCCCCTCAAAAACAGAAAACATCCCAGCCCAGTCCAGATCAAGTCCATAAGTCCAATATTACCCCATATGTCGATACTAGTCCATAAATTCCTCTTTAGACTCATGCAGCCATGCAATGATGCCGAATGTAGGAAGATCACAGGCCAGTGGGTCGAAAGTCTTGTGGATCCAGTGGTGGTGGAAGCATCTCGGAACTGGCGTGGGTCTCCACATGGCTCTCCAGTGAGCTACTTATCTCTAATTGCACCTCCCAAATGAGGTCATCAAGCTGCACAGGATTGACAGGCTAGACTCCACCCCTCCATAAGTTGACAGGAGATCATGTAACGGCCACAACAATAAATAAGGAAGACGGAGGAAGAATCTATACATTAGAATTGTAGCACAGGCATGAGAATGAGGATGGCAACATAGGTACAAATGGGCTCGACACAATGGATGGATGGATGGGTTGTGATAAGAGCTAGAAGAGCCCCCAATAAAATGATTAAAAAAAAGAATTGTGGCGCTGGCAAAGAATACTGAAAGTACCGTGGACGGCCAAACGAACAAACACCTTGGTCTTGGAATAAGTCCAACCAGAGTGCTCCTTAGAGGCAAGGGTGGCGAGAATGTGTCTCCTCTATTTTGGACCAGCTGTCAGGAGAGGCCATCCTGCTCGGCAAAGTAGAAGGACCGTGAAAAAGAAGAAGACTCTTGACAAGATCGATGGACACAATGGCTGCAATAATGGGCGTGGCTCAGACCCGGGCAGGGCTCTGTTCGGGTGTCCGCTATGAGTGGGAACCGACCTGACGGCATATAACGGCAACATTTCTCCTAAAACCAGTGGCCGTTGATTTGATTCTGACTCGCTAACTCATCCCTAGCACATTAGAACCGTACTCCCTCCGGAGGAGTTTCAGGGGCTGGTGTTTCAAAAGGCAAAGGTTTGCCAGCCCTTTCTTCCAAGGTTCCTCTAGGGGAGCCTGAACATCCAGCCTTCTGGTCAGCAGTCAAATGTGCTGTCTGTGCCACCCGGAGACTCTGAAGAACATATACGAATGGTCTTAGGGGACCCCTGTGAAACGGTTGTTTGAGAGACACTGCTCTACAGCCTTTCCGAAAGCCCCTTCCCCCACCCCGTCTTGAAATCCTGCTACCTGGTCAGTTGACTCTTAAGTCCCTGGGGCTTGGTGGGAGCCTCAGTGGGGGCGGCGGGGGGAGGGGGGGACACGCTCTTGATCTGCTTCCTACTTCTCCCTTTACAGGATCTCCAGTATAACCAACTCACTGAGGATGCTCCCTGAGCCCATTCTTCTCAGGAGTTCAAATTTTACCCACACACCATCACCCCCTACCACTATGGGAAGAACTCTATATAAGGCGCCCCAAATTCACCTCTGGGGTGCCTATTGCTAATCCCAAACCCCTGGGTCTAAACGCAGTTATTAGTCCTAAATGCCTAATTTTCTTTTGTAGCCAGCTTGGGCCTCAATAAAAATTATATAATTACTCAAAGTGGCCACAAGATGGCATTCTCGATCTTTAAATCATCAGG